AAGTTTATTAATACGTAGGACAGATTGGGAGTCTTTGTCACGTCGATAAGCGCATGTTAATATGAACGCTGACCACCAATGAGTTCCGAAGATCGAAAAAAAATGGCCGACGTGGGACAACTGTTGAAGGTCCCGTTCCCTTATTTGGTGATGATTTTATGCCAACTCCTTGCCACCCTCTTCCTCGTTTCTCCAGCAGTCCGTGCTCGCCGACGGCGTCAGTGCCATCGTGCTTAACGTGTACCAGCAGCTCATCGGCGCTCCTCTCCTTGCTCGCCGTCTTCTTCGAGCGGTATACTTCGATCCACATTATAACCATCCACTATCTATTCCTTGCACTAACCATTTCATGTTATTCAGTGCGAGAACGCCGCCCGCTCTCCCTCCACGTACTCTCGTGGGCATTCCTCGTCGCTCTTTCACAGTTAGGCCCTCCGCTCTTCTGTTTTCTTTTTCTTTTTCCATCTTAGAGATGTAAATTATTAATTCCAGTTTGATCGAGTTAAGGATTCTTAATTTCCTCCAACAATTTTCTCGGAGACGTCACATATAGTTTTATTTTAAAGCTAATTTCATGTCACATGTAGATATCTTAACATATAGTATGGAGAGCGTATGGGTACTGAAAAAAGAAATAGCGTGCATGTTCAACTCCTGTAAAAGAATCAGGGACACAGATATTTCCGCAGCACACTAACATAAATTCGAATAATATGTATGTACACCTTAATACATAACACCAATATAACGGACCCAACTAACACGCCAGGTAGCTTGTGTTAGGCATCAAATGTTAGTCTAAGATGTAGACCCAAAGTTCGAGACAAGAGCTGGAATCAAAAAGACAGAAAATCGAGCAGAAAGATCCACGGTCGACCGATCCGGTCGACCGCGAACGTGCACAGGAGCTGGGAGAGCTTGGATCAGGTGCCCCCCCCCCGCCAAAACCCTGTAGGAAAACTGCTCTCGAGTTTTGCAATCGGTCGACCGCGTCGGTCGACCGCGCGTATTTTTGGAAGGTTCCTGTTCTGTTTAGGAATCTGTTTCAATCAGGATTCTATATATATACCCCAAACGTTTTATGGTTTGAATAACATCAAAAAGAGAGCTTTTTGACTGCAAAGAGAAAGAGAGAATCTCAGAGAGATTAATCCCTTATTTGAGAGCTTGTATTTTCTTCTTCAATTAATAAAGAGATTGTGTGATGTGGCTCCCGAGGACGTAGGCACGTTGCCGAACCTCGTTAAATCTGTGTGTTCGTCTCTTTTACTGTTTTTTGCAAGTTAGATCTTTATTTGTGGTTTTAATCCTACTTTCCTACTTTCAACACAAGTTCGCCCGCTGTTGGGCAAGGAAAAGGGAAAGAAGAAAGAGGAGTCAGATGGTGATTGGGAGGTACTGGATAGGAAGGCTCTAGGGCAAATCCGGTTGTCGCTCGCCAAATCAGTAGCCCACAATATTCTGAAGGAGAAGACGACGGTGGGGCTTATGGAAGCGCTCGCGAAGATGTACGAGCAACCGTCGGCAGCAAATAAGGTGCATCTAGTCAAAACTCTTTTCAACCTCAAGATGGCAGAAGGACGGTCCTTCACGATGCATCTCAGCGAGTTTAACACGATTGTTGATCAACTTATCTCCGTGGACATCACGTTCGATGACGAAGTGCAGGCCCTTCTACTACTATCGCAGTTGCCGGATAATTGAGCAGGTTGTGTGACGGCAATAAGCAATTCAGCGGGGAAAGAGAAGTTGAAGCTGAATGAGGTTGTTAGTATGATTCTATCCGAGGAGGTTAGAAGGAAATCGTCCGAATCAGAAGGTTCAAGTTCAGCCCTAAGTTTCGAGCAGAGAGGCAGAAGCCAGAAGAAAGGGAACCAGAACAGGAATCGGTCGAAATCAGTGAAGAAGAGGCCGAACTCGAAGGTTAGGTCCATCAAAGGGAAGTGTTGGAACTGCGGCCAGGAGGGCCATATGTCTTTGGTCTGTAAAGCACCAAAGAAGGATGCCTTGCTATGGATAGCAATTCTGATTCTTGGGTCATCGACTCAGGAGCTTCTTTCCACGCCACTGCTAATAGGAAACTACTTCAGAACTATGTAGCAGGGGACTTTGATAATGTATATTTGGGGGATAATGAACCTTGCAATATTGTTGGAAAGGGCGACGTTCAGATACAGATAAAGGGATCTAAGTGGAACTTGAAGAACGTGAGACACGTACCGAAGCTGAAGAGGAATCTTGTTTCGGTGGGACAGCTTGGAGAAGAAGGCTACGTTTCGACATTCACCGGGGATTCGTAAAGAATCTCCAACGATACTATGGTTGTTGCCCGAGGCAATAAAACAGGAACTCTCTACCTCACTTCACATGCGAGTGACACCCTCACAATTGCAGCTGGCAAGGAGAGTACAGATCTGTGGCACAACAGGCTGGGACACATGAGCGAGAAGGAGATGAAAATTCTACATTCACAAGGAAAGCTAACCGGGATCGATACCGTGGAAGTCGGGGTTTGTGAAGACTGCATCTTTGGGAAGCAGAAGAGTGTTAGTTTCCAGAAGGGTGGAAGGCCACCTAAGGCTCAGAAGCTAGAGTTGATTCATACAGATGTATGGGGCCCAGCCAGTGTGTCTTCTTTTGGCGGTTTGAGATACTACGTCACCTTTATCGACGATCACTCGAGGAAGGTGTGAGTTTACTTCATGAAGCACAAGTCAGAGGTGTTCGAAATCTTCAAGAAGTGGAAGGCCATGGTCGAGAACGAGACAGATCTGAAGGTGAAGTGCTTGAGATCAGATAATGGTGGAGAATATGAGCTGGAGGAGTTCAAGAGGTTCTGTGCTACGAATGAGATTCGCTTAGAGAGGACTACTCCAGGGACGCCGTAGCAGAACGGCATTGCAGAGAGAATGAACAGGACTTTGACAGAGCGTGCGCGGAGCATGCGACTACATGCAGGTCTGCCTAAGATATTTTGGGCGGATGCGGTGCATACGGCAGCCTACCTGATTAATCACGGGCCATCAGTTCCATTAGATTTTGGGATTCCAGAGGAGGTTTGGAGTGGAAAGAAGATAAATCTCTCACACTTGTGGGTATTTGGTTGCGTGGCTTATGTTCATATCAGTGACCATGTCAGGGACAAGCTAGATGCTAAGTCACAGAAGTGCACATTCATTGGATATGACATTGATGAGTTCGGGTATCGCCTTTGGGATGAAAAGAACAGGAAGATCATCAGGAGTCAGGATGTGATATTCAATGAGTTTTGTTTACATCGTTGTAACAATGATTCCTCTGTCAAAATCCACTTATTGATTCTCATCAACAGAATCAATAAGTAGTGGTTTGAAAGAATCGAACGTAGCTCGTCCAGCACTGATTTCCTCAATCGCTATCTTCATCATATAGCAGCACTACGGATACAGGTGGATCCGAGTACATGGATTTGGAGGAACTTCCAGATAGGGGCGACGATGTCAGTTCTGACCGTAGAACGGAGGAGATTACAGGTGCAGAAGCTACTACCCAGGGCGTGGAGCTTAGGAGGTCATCCAGGGTACCCAAACCAAATCCCAAATACCTCTCGTCACTTGATTATCTACTCTTAACAGATAGCGGAGAGCCGGAGTGTTATGAAGAGGCAGTGCAAGTGAGTGAATCTCAGCAGTGGGAGCATGCGATGCAGGAGGAGATGGATTCTCTACTCACTAATGAGACATGAGAGTTAGCCCAGCTACCTGCACAGAAGAAAGCCTTGTACAATAAATGAGTCTAGCGAGTCAAGCAGGAGAGTGATGGAAGCAAGAGATTCAAGGCCAGATTAGTCGTGAAGGGGTTTCAACAGCGGGAAGGAGTAGACTACACGGAGATATTTTCCCCTGTTGTGAAACTCACAACCATCAGAGTGGTGTTGAGTTTGGTAGCTGCAGAAGACCTCTTCCTTCTTGGATGAAGAAATCTACATGAAGCAACCTGTTGGCTTCATTGAAGAAGGAAAGGAAGAGATTGTGTGCAAGCTCAAGAAGAGCTTATATGGTTTGAAACAGGCTCCGAGACAGTGGTATAAGAAGTTTGATAACTTCATGCAGAATAATGGCTACAGAAGATATAATTCGGATCATTGCTGTTATTTCAAAATGTTTGAGTCCAGCTTCATTATTTTGTTATTATATGTTGATGACATGTTGGTAGCAGGACCGTGTTTAGAAGAGATAAACAGTTTGAAGAGACAGCTAGCAAAGGAATTTGTAATGAAGGATCTAGGTGCAGCGAAGCAGATTCTAGGGACGCGAATCAGTAGGAATGAAGCTGGAGGGACATTGAGATTGAGCCAAGCTGAATACATTGAGAAGGTACTTCAGAGGTTTAACATGCAGAATGCTAAAGTTGTTAGCACACCCCTTGGAAGTCAGCTCAAGCTACCTGAGGAGCAATCACCTAAGACAGATGCAGATAGAGAGCATATGAGCAGGGTGCCATATTCTTTGGCCATTGGGAGTCTCATGTACGCGATGGTTTGCACGAGGCCGGACATCGCCCATGCAGTGGGAGTTGTGAGCAGATTTGCAAGCAATCCAGGAAAGCAGCATTGGGAGGCCGTGAAGTGGATAATGCGGTACTTGAGGAGGGGGACAACAAACAAACCACTATATTTCAGGAGGAAGGAGTTGGTGCTGTAGGGATACGTGGATGCGGACTTCGCCGGTGATCATGATACGAGGCGAAGCACCACGGGGTATGTTTATACCTTAGCGTCGACAGCAGTGAGCTGGGTCTCACGTCTGCAGAAGATTGTGACTTTGTCTACAACCGAGGCTGAGTATGTCGCGGTGACTGAAGCAAGCAAGGAGATGATCTGGTTGAACGGGTGCTTGGAAGAGTTGGATCTGAAGCAAGGGAGAGGAGTTCTTTATTGTGATAGCCAGACGCTATACATCTTGCTAAGAATCCAGTATATCATGCCAGAACGAAGCATATCGACGTCAAATACCATTTTATACGCTCGCTAGTTGAGGACGGAAAGTTGCATTTAATGAAGATTTTGGGGAGTCAAAATCCGACGGACATGTTGACGAAGACAATCACCATTGAGAAACTGGAGTTGTGCGCAACTTCAGTTGGCCTTCACGAGTAGAAGACGAAGGCGGAGCCACACTACGAGGATAGGCGAGATCGCCGGGATATTGTTGATTGAAGGAAGAATTTTTCGGGGAAAAGATACATGCGAAGAAGGGGAGAGTTCGGGGGAACTCATTGCAGACACTTTGGTCTCCAAGTGGGAGATTGTTAGTCTAAGGTGTAGACCCAAAGTTCGAGACAAAAGCTGGAATAAAAAAGACAGAAAATCGAGCAGAAAGATCCACGGTCGACCGATCCGGTCGACCACCAAAACCCTGTAGGAAAACTGCTCTCGGGTTTTGCAATCGGTCGATCGCGTCGGTCGACCGCGACGGTCGACCACGCGTATTTTTGGTAGGTTCCTGTTCTGTTTAGGAATCTGTTTCAATCAGGATTCTATATATATACCCCAAACGTTTTAGGGTTTGAATAACATCAAAGAGAGAGCTTTTTGACTGCAAAGAGAGAGAGAATCTCAGAGAGATTAATCCCTTGTTTGAGAGCTTGTATTTTTTTCTTCAATTAATAAAGAGATTGTGTGGTGTAGCTCCCGAGGACGTAGGCACGTTGCCGAACCTCGTTAAATCTGTGTGTTCGTCTCTTTTACTGTTTTTTGCAAGTTAGATCTTTATTTGTGGTATTATTCCTACTTTCAACACATGGTCCGGAAGGGCAAGAGTTTGATTGATTGTTTCAAATCCCCAACATCAAAGAGTCCAAACACTATGTAGGCAAAATACTAGAGAGAGGAAAAAAAAACCTTACAACTTTGGAGAGGATTATCAGATCGCCTCTCCCATGGCTTTCAAAATATTAGCAAGGTCCCTTAAGTTTAGGGGTTGTCAGATAACCACCTTTTAACTTTCAATGTTTTCTAAGAAACTCCCATTTAAAAGCGTGAACCACAATTTCCTCTATCAGAAATATCGCCCTGCATAATTTTATCTACCCATGTGAAGATTGCACTTACAATTGTTAGGCGGTTTTTTTAAAGTTGCAGGGGCTTTCTGATAATCCCTAGACTGAAGGGGTTTTCCTGATAATTGGAAAGTTGTGGGGTCATCTGATAATATTCCGAAGTTATGGTGTTTTTTTTTAATAATTAAAGAAAACTACTTGCATTTGTGAAGGATTCCAGGGGAGCAGCTGCTGCTAACGGCGAGTCTTCGTTACATAACGTCCACGTTTGAGAGCGTGGAACTCAACACTGTTCCGGTGTTGGTGTTCGTTGTTCCAGTTTTAGCGGGTCGGGAAAAGTTCCGGTTTTGGAGCCTTAACGGGCAGGCGAAGCTACTGGGCGTCCTGTCGTCGGCGGTGGGGGCTACTGTGTTGGTAATTTTTGAGGATGGTAAGGGCTCAAATGTTAAAAGTGCGCAGGGTCCGAAGGGCAGGCTCACTGGGTGCTTTTTGCTCGGGCTCGCGGCCCTCGTTGCGTCCGCGGCGTACCTTTTCCTGGTCAGTTGGTATTTTTTGCAAATTACCCCGTGGCATTGAAACTACATTAATTCTCATTTTAGCCATAGACCATTTAAAAAAACACAATATTTATTTCTTTAATCAAATCATCGATTGGATCCAGCTTTAAATCCAAGCTCAGCATATAAAAAGTCCAGGGAGCATATTAAGTATCTCCGTAATGTTTAGTGAAATCGCTGCAATTATTCTTTAATAATTGAACAGTTAAAATTTATTGTAATCTTATTGCGGGAAAAGTTGACCTTAAAATTCCGAATGGTTCTCACCTTGACAGGGAATTTGGTTCAAGCCCTTTTAAATCTTTTTGATTGATCAAAATGTTGACAGGGAACTGTAATAGCTGCGATGGTGAACTTTGCTCGGATTTGGTGCATACACAAGAAAGGACCAGTTTTGGTATTAGCATTCACCCCGCTGCTCATCGTCTACTCCTTCCTCTTTCAAACTCTCGTCTTCCAAGTCTCTCCACGGTTTTGGAGGTTAGTTAGCTTTTTAATGAATGTATATATATACATACATACGTACGTACACCTTTTTATTTCAAAGTGTGGTTCGTGTTTACTTTTTATTTTTCAGTATTGTCGCGGCTTCTTTCGTCATTGGAGGCCTGTATATCCTCCTCTGGGCAAAATCGAGAGACAGCGGGGCAAGGAAAGTTGACAATGGTGATGAACAGAACCGGTTATCTGAAAGTTCAACGGCAGAGCCGCTCCTTGGAAACATTTAATTTAACTAAGGGGGTGTTTGGTTGCATTGTTTTTAAAAAATGTTTTCTCAAAAAGTACAAACAATGGCATTTCTGTAATTAAGAGTTTTCTATAGATTTCCACAAACTGTGTTTGGCTCAAAAAAGATTTATAGAAATGTTTTCTGTAAAGTATAGAAAAGTACCAAAATTTATAGAAATTGTTTTCCTTCTAAAATGGGCGAAAATCTCTTGGAAATCTGACGCATTCATTATTTAAATAATAAAACTCATTAACACTTTTCTATAAAGTTCTCATTTTTTTATAAAGTTGGTGGTATTTGGTTACATTTCTATAAATTATAGGAAATGTTGCTATTTTTCCAAAAGTTATGAGTCATTTTCTTGTTTCGAACCAAACAAGCACAATACAAAAAATAAGAAAAATTATACTTTTTAACTTCTCAAAACTTTTCCTATATTTTTTTTAAGAAATAGAAGGAAATCAAATTTTGGATGGAAAACATTTCCTATAATTTATAGAAATGTAACCAAACACCCCCTAAATATATGCGAAAGAGTAATCTGGTGGGTAAAGAAAACCATGACAGTAGATATAAGGTTGCATTGAAATCAATTTCAAGGATTTATTCTCCATTCAACACTGGTTGATTACCAAAGAAAGTTAAAGACATCCACTCGGTACAGAAGAGAGATACGCTAGCTTCTGACCTATTGAATCCTGACAAATATACCATTCAACTAAAACAATTCGAGTTGCCCCCTTATGTGTGAGAAATGATTAAAGTTTATTCTTTTAACATTTTTCCTTCCAAACTTGAGCTTAATTGCATATATTCTCTCTACAGTTTATTTTTCAGTGAACATAAAACATGTTAGTTAGTAACTAGTATTCTCTAAAATTTATATTTATTTCTTTTGGGCACAAACTTTAGATTTTTAAAATTATCTTTAAATTTGGAATTTTAATTTTAATTTGTTTATACTAGATTTTAGATTTAGCAGTAGAATTATGATAGGAAGATGGAAATTATGGGTGTCAAATCAAGGAATGAGAAAAAGAAAAATGGAGTTTAGTTATCATCAAAGTGAAGGGGAGGGAACAATGCATCTCAGCTCTTCAACTTTGGATGAAGCATAATACTACCACAATAATAGAAAACAAATAACACCTTAAATTCAAGCTCCAAATTCTAAACCTAAACCATTAAATTCTTAAATATAAAATTTGAGTTCCAGTCCTAAACGAATTACACCAAAACTGATAATCTAAGAAAAAAATATCCTAGTTCTAACTAACAATCTTGAACCAATAACACACTTCAATATATATAACTTCTGAAGGCAAATAGCAGTGGCATTGCTACAATAATTAAGAAAGGAGCATCAGGTGACAGAATTCCTCACATGCCAGCTAACTCAACATAGCGCTGTTTAGTTCATTTTAACTGCAATTGAAATACGAGCAACATTTGTATATAACGACGGCTGCTGCAAGATGTTACCACATACAGTTAAAAAGGTTCACCCGAGGAACTTACTTATAAAACACAGAAAAATAGTGCAAAGCTATCATGTTGCGAGCAACAATAGCTTTGAAGATGATTGAAAGAAAAAAAAAAGTTCCAAGAGGCGAAGTGTTTACTTGAAGAATCATCCTTTTCTTTTCTTTTCTTTTCCCCCCTAGAACCAGCACAAGTAGAAGAGTGGACTGGTTCAATTTTGAATGCACAGGTCAACATGGAAAACTTCACTAAACTCTAGTATTCCTTCGAATTAAACCTGCCATGCACCGTGTTAGCTAAGAGATTGAAACCTTTTTCTCCGAATGTATGGTAAGAGTTATTTATCCATAAAACTAGAGACACAAGATGAATTCCAAATAGAAGCATGTACCTATGAACCATAGAACAAAATAATTATGGCATTTTCCAGAAAGGACAATTCCCTTAATTGACATGTTTTTTTTCCTTTTCAATTACAGTACGCTTCCATGTCTACATCTATCATATATTAAAAAAAATTCATATTCCAATTTGATTATGTCTCACTTTTTCCTAAAATGGATTAGAAGTATAGAACAATATAATTGAAAAAAAAAACTCCGGCATAAATAGTTTTGGAAAATGCACGGTTATTTTAAGAAACACAGTAATACGTTCCAACTCAAACAAACAGTAAAAGGCTCAATAACTTGGGCGTCTATTTAAACAACAGGAATATAAACCATATTTCAATTGCTCATGGTTAAACATGTGGTTTCAAGTTCTATGAACATACAAGAAGATCCCCCAAGTAATGGAACTAATCATAAAGATCACCCTAGTAATGACATCTGAAGCACATAGAAAACACGAGATGCAAAACTTACACCATCCAAAGGCCTACTAGGGTCAGTGAACTGAACACAATGATTCCAGTGATTTCTCAGTTTCTCACTGATGATACTTGCCAGTTAACTCCAAGAAGACTAATACTGCCAAATCAACCTCTCAAGTTGAGTTCATTTATAACATAAAAATGACACAAGCAGGAAGAACTAGCACGATGTCGTGGCTCCATTGTACTAACACAATGTTCTAATATTATCTTTTCTTGATTGTTTTAATGTGCTATGGTACTTTATAAGTGCTTTGATCTTTCACTACATTCCAACTATGTAATTTCACATCATTCAGTAGTTTCCATGATAGTCCTTCTACAACATTATATCGATAATAGGGTTAATTGCAAATAGATTCCTTGTATTATAGGTCCATTGCAGCCTATGCCCATTATCCTAGATATTAGTCAATACACTTCCTGACTGATCTATGTTGTGAAAACCAGTCTGACATTCTTCCTTGCTTAAAAGTTTCATAGTACAAGAGGTCTATTTGCAACTAAATTACTAATAGTTAAGACATTTTCTCTTCCTTTCTCAGCAGTCTTGTTTGCCAACATAAAGGGCACCGGCACAATGACTCTGTCCTCTCTTCTCCATTTTTTCTGTGGTCCTCAAGTCCAGCTTTCTCCGTTCTATGCCCCTGCACATCTCCTCTCTTTTGAAATTAACATGCTGCCTAATATTGCTTTGGAACAATTAATGGGAAAGAGAGATAAAAGCGAAGAGAGACAAAGACCAGCGAGAAAGTAAGATGAGAGGATATAGAAAGAGAGAGGACAAAAAAGTCAGATTCTGTCATATGTCCAGCAAGTGATAACTCTAATTAACGAAATATTAACGGTATAGATCAGTCAGAGAGCTAATATCCAAGAGGAGAGGGTGATAGTTGAATTGGAACAGAACGAGAGATCTGTCAACCAGTGTTGTAAATAGCGGCCAATCGCGGGGCTATAGCAGCGCGAATAGCGGTCGTGGCCCTTCAGCGCTATACGTAAGGGTTTCGCGGCTGGCTTAAGCGGGAAAATCCACTATTCATTCGAATAGCGCTTAAAAGCGGATTTTAGCGGGTTAAAAGCGGGTTTTCACGGTTAAAAGCGGATTTTCGCGGTTTAAAGCGGATTTTCGTGGTTAAAAGCGGCTAAACCCGCTATCACACATATTATGATACTATATTTCTTGAATTTCTTCATAGTTTCATTCATACAACAAGCCTACTAATTGTTATTTACTGATAATACAAGAAATTTACAACTAATTGAATTTTTAGATTTTTTTTATGAATTTTCTTATTATTTAGGATATTTAAATATATTTAAATTTGACCGCTATTTGACTGTGCGCTATTTGCCGCGATTTCGTCGTAATAGCCCGATATAGCCTTAGCGGTACCTCGCCGCGACGCGCCGCGATCCGCTATCAGCAACCTTGCTGTCAACAATTTAAATACACGCCATGCTACTCTCGTATTTTATGTCCATCAACCTTGTGCTACTAACTCATACAAATGGATACTGATGGAAATACAATAAGCAGTGCAATATATTGAAGTGATTAGAACTTTGATGACAATATAAAGAGGAAAAGAAAGGATTTTACTTCCAAAGAGGAGATGAAAAATTGAAGAGCATAATACCAAACAGCAACAATACATGTCATAGTAGGGTCACAATTATATAAAACATGATATGTAATTTGAAAATAATTCACTATATAGGACACGTAAGTTGGATCAGCGTTACAACATTAGGTCTTCAGAAGACAAATCAAATATTACAATTTAGAAAATTCACGAGCAGTTATTTGGATTCACAGTACTGGTTCATAGGAACAAAATTTAAAAACAATACACACTTCAATCACAAAGTATATAACACCAAAACCATAATGGCAATAAAAATCCTAATCCCAAATACTTGTGGAAAATCATGCATATATACCTCCTTTTCCACCCTTTTACCATTTCACTTCCCCGGAGCTCCTTACTATATATTTTTATGAGAAGCTTGTACTAGTAGCGTTAGTTGGAGAAATATGTCATGGACTCGTTGAATGGTTCTATCGGTAGGAAAAAAGATAACTTGTATACATTTATAAAAGAAATCACCAATCTGCATCAGTGACCTTTGACACCTAGAGAAACCAAAATAACTCCGCCTCTCAGGAGAAGACTGCACACTTGATGATTAAGTGAAGGGTGAGACCTATTTTGAAGCATAAAAAGCTTTGAGCCCCAGAATAATTAGGGAATAATTCCCTCACAGAATCACATTACACGCGACAAAGTTTACCAACTAAAAGATGAGCATAAAGAAATTGCATGAACAATCAAGAGCGAATGCACAAACTAGACATTGCGCAACAACAATCATATCTAACGTTGGATCGCTTTGTATATAAGATGTATTATAAATGCGTGGTAGTTCATAACCTTGCAAGAGCAATTTATGGTGAGAGCATTCAAAATATGAAAAACAACCAAAAGTGGGAGTTGGAAGTGAACTTGGTTGGTGACATTCTAAAGCATATAAAAAAAATGGCTCAATTCCACTAATTCACTTAAACATACATCAAGAAAATATGAGCAAAATGCAAATTGGGTCTTACCCTAGTGGGTCTTTCTACGGGGAGCAGGCTTTTGAGAAGCTAACTTGTACATCCAATAAATCTGCAGGAGTAATACGAACAATAATTAGATTGGAGACCGCCCACAAAAAAAAAAATCTAATAATTAAAGGAAAATAAGAGGGAATTGAGTACCAACGCTGAGACGTGGACGACCATGAGGACCATTACGAGAAGAGGAGCAGACTCGAGAAACCACGGTCGACCTGTCTCCGCCATTAAATCCTGACTGAGCGATTGAGATTTTGCTTCTCCAAAAACCCTAAAGGCTTGATCACCAAAAAAAAAAAAAAAAAAAAAGGAACAATAGTTTCGCTAATCAAAAGACGTGGACCCTACCCTTGTGTTTGTGAATTGGCTTAATTGGGTTGGGCTAGATTTTATCCCGTTCAGTAATATTGGGCCTCCATCACAGCATAATACACGGGTGACCACTTTAGCCCATCCGAGGAGTTTAAAATGTTCTCCGCTTTATCACCACCGTGAAAAATGTCAAATGAAACTCCACGATCATTTTAAAAAAATAAATAAAAGAAAACTTGCAGATAAAATACTCATGTTTAAAACCTTAGGATAAATTATTTACAGTTAAAAAACATCATGAACTAATTAGATTCGAGCGAAAAATAACCTGAGGACGAATGTATTTGGTGCGGGATCAACAATTCAGTTACGGGCGAACTCTCTCTTGATGCATATTTTTCGCAAACTCTTAAGTTCAATCTAACTTCTGAGAGTTCTCATCGACTTCCACACAATGACTAAGCTGAGTTTGTGAGTTCAAATTGAGTCCAATTTAAGTTGGCACTTTTTTTTTTCCAGTTTGAGGAGGGAATTTTTTTCATGATCTTTCTAACTCTTGGCATCAAACATCCAGTCCAAGAGGCCTCAGATATTCATTACGAGCTGCACGTTTATTGTCTTTAAATTTAAATTTAAATTTCACCCCTAAAGTCTAGGCGACTGAATACAGTTTTCAAACCAATTCATTCTTCTATAGGATTAAGTCTTCTTCTGTTTAATCTAAACTCGATTATAAAGTGACTAATCTATTCAAGATTCGCTGAATGAAACAAAACGTCATGCTCAAGAGAAACAGCCAAGCACACACGATGAGCGTGTATATCCAGCTGTCAGCTTTCCTTTTCCTTCTTGAGAAAACCCTCCTTACCCAGCAATATAAAATATAAAAAATAAAATAAAAAGAAAGGACAAAAATGCCATTTCACAAGCCACCCGTACAAACCGCCAAAGCTAATGTCAGCCGCCCGATGAATAAAAAACTAGTGCGCATACCCCGGGCGAAGTACGCGCGTCGACCTGTGGTTGCATTTATTACTTTGACTTTCTCCACTCACTCCCCCCACCGCCGCGAGGGCCCCCAACTCGCGCCACGATCCCTTTTCTGCTTCAATAAAAATGAAAATTACGCGCCGGGTCCCACGATACGTGGCGCAATTGTAACGGTGGGTTCTCTGGAGCTCATTCTGAGAAACTGTTTTTCGTATTTTTTTTAAAGTTTTTTTTTCTTTTCTTTATTTTCCTCCCTTCTTTCTTCTTTCTTTCTCTCTTGCGGCCGCACACAACCAGAAACACCGGCGCTGTTCTTCGTTCTCCCCTTCTCTCTATCGCAAATTGTGAGAATTAGGGTTTGGTTCTCTCGAATTTTTTGCTTAGTTTAACTGATCGATTATCAATCGGATGCGAAATTGTTTTTTTTTTCTCCGTGCAGCTGTTTTTTTCTCTCTGCAGCTTTTTGGTTTCGGATCGGAGATAATGAGGAGACTGGGGAGGTTTATCGAGTGCAGTCCTGGATAAATCGATCGGTTTTATTTGATTTTGTTGTCCGAGTTTGGGTAATTTTGAAATTAAGGATTAGAAGTGAAGTAAGATTTTGAAGATGGGTTATTTGAACTCCGTTCTGTCGAATACGAGCGGAAGCCAAGCGGATGATTCTCCGGTTAGCGGTGGGGGTCTCAGGTATCGTGAAATTTCTTAGTTTTAGCGGTTTTCATGGTTACGATGTCGTAAATTCGTCCAGAAGTTAATTATCTGAGAATGATTTAAGTTATTACGAGTATATATATTGGGTACGGAAAAGCTAGTCCCCAGCAGAGTCGCCATCTTTTGTATATAGGGAAAATTGCAATGAAGAGAATAAAGAAAATTTGACTTTGATTCCTTTGATCTCGGTTACAACTTGATTACAAAAGAGAGGAAAACGAATTTGGTTTTCCCCTTTGTTTAAAACTGGGTTCTTCACGGTGGCGATGGAGTGCCTCCCTCGAATGCTTGCGTCGAGTTTGCTCTCCGTTGACGATCCGCACGTCTTGATTCACTGGAACGATGTCTTCTCCTCACGATTTGACGTTGTGGAGAACTTGCGTGGCAAGTTTGAAACTCTTGATGAGTTGATAACTCTGAACGAGTTTTAACTCTTGAAAAAGAGTTGATTTGAACCGAAAGTCGGTTATAAGCCAAGGACAGAGGCTCTCTGTTGCTGAATTTGAAGATAATCTTCGTTGAAGGATGATGCTGATCTCCTCCAAAGTTTGCCCAATGATTTCCCCTCTTGCTGCCAATTCTCAGCTCCAAGCAAAACCTTCAATGGTCGATTCAAGCCAATAAAAATCGAACCCTGAACTCAGTTGAGTTTACCCATATTTATAGGAAATTAAGAGGTGTAACCGCCCCCTTAATTCTCTCCATAATGGGGTGTAACCGCCCCCAAATCGTGGGAAACGGTTTTAGAACCGTTCAGCTCATGTTGAATGAGTCAAACAATGCCCACGTTGGCGTTCAGGACTGGCGTTTTGATGTTGTAACGCGGGGTTCGGCCTTGGCGTTTTGATGTTGTAACGCGGGGTTCGACCCTAGCGTTTTGATGTTGTAACGCGGGGTTCGGCCTTGGCGTTTTGATGTTGTAACGCGGGGTTCGACCCTGACGTTTTGATGTTGTAACGCGGGTTCGACCTTGGTGTTTTGATGTTGAAACACGGGGAGGACCTCCGCGTCTTGCCTTGCAGAGATTATCACCAAGTAATAGCGTTGCAAAGATCATTGTCTTATAATCTTCGTCTTGGCTCCTTGAGAATATGAGAGTCGTCAGATTGTAACTCCCGATGTTGATTGTGAAGGCTGTTGAAGTAGAGCTCTCATCGGTTGTCGTGAAGGTCGTCAGATTATAACCTTCAGCGATCTACGCGAAAGTCTTCAGATTACAGCCTTCTGGAAGTCGTCAGATTGTAACTTCCATCATTGGTGGTTGATGGGGGATAAGCTATCTATTGTGATTTTTAGACAACCTACAGAACCCCCTTCAAAGTTTTCGAAAGTTCGCGGTTGACTGAGACGAATTTTCGGAATACTTTGGATCTTAACTCTGATCTTAGAGCTGTTGATTCCTTATCGTAAAGGAGTCGTTCTCTGCACTTGCTTTGAAGGCATCATGGTTGAAGGGATTTTCTACGTAGGACCTGTGTGAAGGTATGCGCCATAATCCTGCTTCTGGAATGCGGGGGTGAACCCTTGCGTTTTGAATTTGAGACGCGAGGCTGACTTCGGCGTTTTGAATTTGACCTGTGTGAAGGTATGCGCCATAATCCTGCTTTTGGACTGTGGGGGTGGACCCTGCATTTTGAATTTGGAACACGGGTGTGACCTCGGCGTTCGGTTTTTGCATCGCGGGTCTGACCTCAACGTTTTGACTTAAGACATGGAAGTGGCTTCCGTGCATTTTTGACTAAGTTTTTTGAAACTTGTCTTTAGCTTATCTGTTTCAAGTCTCGGCTCACGTCCATTAAGCTGATGGGCCTTTAAACATGCATAGGATTTTTGGCAAACCCTCAGCCATCAACGGATTTGATAAGCCTTTACCGACTACCGTTTGAGTCGGGCTAGCATATGGATTGTCTAAGTCCGTTCCACATGTAACGTTGTGCTAAGAGAATGAACCCTCTTAGACTTGATGCTATGATTTTGAATACATAGACTTTGTCATTTTTTACGGAAAAAGACTAACCGGCGACGCGTGTTAGGCGTAGGCTTATCCCTACTTAGGATTTGAGATAAGGTTCCCCATGCGTGTAAGACATGGATTTTGGTGTTATTAATAACGACCCGGTACGATGTTGAATACGTAGACTTTTGTCCTTTTTACGGTAAAAGACTAACCGGCGACGCGTGTTAGGCGTAGACTTATCCCTACTTAGGATTCGGGATAAAATTCCCCATGCATGTGAGGCATGGATTTTGGCGCTACGATGTTGAATACGTAGACTTTTGTCATTTTTTACGGTGAAAGACTAACCGGCAACGCGTGTTAGGCGTTGACTTATCCATACTTAGGATTCGGGATAAAATTCCCCATACATGCAATGTATGGATTCAGAGATTATCAATTTAATGATAATCACTGGCTACGATATTGAATACGTAGACTTTGTCACTGTTTCTTCCTGTGTTATTCGAAACACTGAAAGAAAATTAGAAGTGCCAGAGGTGTAATATTAACTTGGCATGAGTTTTCACTTAGAGTGAAATTCAGAAATTTTCTTTATTATCACTAGGATAATTCCAGAAAATCTTTAATCCACTGGGGATTTTATAATAAAAACTTGCTATTCTTGTTGAAAGAGGATTAACAAGTTCATTGGGGAGGGTTTGACTGTTAGAGGTGTGATGTTAACCTAACAGTATTTTATGGACCTATCGCTCTATTGAAGAGAGTCGATAAGTGTTAACGTGACAGGATGATGTTGCGATTGGAGCAACTTTGTGGACTTATCATCCTATTGAAGAGGATTGATAAGTGGATTTGTCAGAGGTTTGATGTTAACGTGACATGAGGATGTTGCGATTGGAGCAACTTTGGGGACTTATCATCCTATTGAAGAGGATTGATAAGTGGATTTGTCAGAGGTTTGATGTTAACGTGACATGAGGATGTTGCGATTGGAGTAACTTTGTGGACTTATCATCCTATTGAAGAGGATTAGCAGATTGATGTACTATCAGAGGTAATTGTTAACGTGATAGTTGTGGACTTGCCATCCTATTGAAGCGGATTAGCAGATTGATGTACTATCAGAGGTAACTGTTAACGTGATAAATTTATGGACCTGACATCCTATTGAGAAGAGGATTGACAAGTTGAGGGACTATCAGAGGTAAATATTAACGTAATAGTTTTGTGGACCTGCCATCCTATTAAAGCGGATTGACAAGTTGATGGGCGTGATAGTTTTGGTAGATTTTGTGGTTGACAGAGGTATTCTATTAAACATAACAACTCAGAAAATTTATTACTCAGAATCCAATGAACTACAAATAAATCAACCCCCAGTCTTGATTAAGTGCTGGGGAAAAAGGGTAGACATGGCACACATGGCACGTCGCCTAGTGGGCCACAATCTAACGAGCTTGACTATCAGAGGTAGTTGTTAACGTGATAGTTATTGGAGACCCGGCATCCTACTGAAGAGGATTAGCTTCAGTGGTCGTAGTATCTTCTGGTTCTGACTGGGAAGAATGAGCTTGGTCCGATTGCTCAGGAGAAGATTGGGCTTGGTCCGATTGCTCGGGCTGATCTTGCCCACTTTGTTCTTCAGCTTTGATCCTGGCAATAATCTTCTGAGCCTGTTCGCCTTGAGAGATCAGTTGTCTCCAAGAACGACATTCTGCAACCCCTATTCGAGCTAGGATGTTGGTCTGCAGGTTGTGTCGACAGGTCTCTACTAAGGTAGACTGTGTCATACCTGACGAACACCGGAGAGCCATGGTTCGGAACCTTTTAACTAAGGCTTTGACGGATTCCCTCTTTTTCTGCTTAGTGGTGAGAAGGGTATGGATGGAGACTTCTGTATCCTCTTCAAAAAATCTTGACAGGAAGAGTCTCTCTAAATCTGCCCACCTTTGGATACATCCGGCAGGTAGTTTCCTGAACCATTCAAAGGCAACTCCCTTAAGGGTGCCAATGAACAATCGAGCCAGTATGGCATCGTTTGATATTACATTCCCAGTCTGTGACTTGAAATGATAGATATGTTGATTCGGTGATCCCGTGCTGTCAAAAGTTTGTAGCGTCGGGACTTCAAATTTTGGAGGATAAGGGGCTGCGTCCCATTCGGCAGGGTAGGGCCTGACAACTCCCTCATCTTGGAGCTCGCTTCTGTTAGCAATGACATTGAGGCGGGCTTCCAATTCCTCGATTTTAGCCGACTGAGGATTTTGCTCATACTCCGTCTCTCTTCCTTCATCAGAGGAAGATTCCAGGTTGTGGGCTTCTTGGTCAGAAGCCGTGTCATCAACCATTTTTCCCTTCCCTTTGCTTGTGTGAGGTCGGGACGAAGACGTTCTTTCCCTTCGGGAAGATTCTTGCCTGAGTGGCGAATCTGTCTTCTGAGATTTGGCCTTGTCTGCGACGAGTTGAGTCAACAGGGCCAGGAGTTCATTGATGGCCTCTTGCTGAGATTTGAGCATGGCCTCCTGCTCATCAAGTCTCTTCGCGAGATCTTCATGGTTTCCCGTCATATAAGCGTAGCTCTCATGTTCAACAAAAGAGCTTGATGACTGGGACTCTGCAATGGCTGAGTGTTCATCATTGGAATTGGTTCCCCTGGATAAACTCCGATAGTTGACAGGGGGAATGGCTCCTGTTCGCGTCCGAGTATGTTGATAAACTCCATCAGACTTATTCAGGAAGTCTTTCAAGCCAGGAGACTGATCGTTCTCTGACTCATCGGAACTAGGAACTGATGATCTCCCTCTGCCGATCATGTTAGAAGTGACTCTAAGGTATTCATCCTCAGAAGTATTCTTCTTATGTGAACGCCGTCGTTGGTTGGGTAAAGCAACGTTCGTAAATTGGTTGAACACCAGCAGTTGGGCCGCATATGAGCAGCATTGGCGTCCCGAGAGGACCGTAGGAATCAGTCGTTCACATTGAAATGAACGAATGACTTGTTGCATCGATCTTTCTCTCGATGTGAACTCTCTCGAATCTGCTATAAAGACTCGAGGAGAATTACTCACTGATTGTGAGGTTTGAACTGGAACCCCCAGTCCATGATTGGACAGGACTGGCTCTTGGTGAATATGGATCTGGTTGAGATGCCTTGAATCCATAAACTTCTTATATCCGCCCCTGTTCGGGGCAGCGCCCCGAAGCTCCATGATATACACCAGGCGCGGTATTGGATTTGGAACTTGGGACGCGAGGGTCGCGTTTGGCATTTGAAACGCGAAGATCGCGTTCGGCACTTGAAACGTGAGGGTCGCGTCTGGCACTTGCAACGCGAAGGTCGCGTTCGGCACTTGAAACGTGAGGGTCGCGTCTGGCACTTGCAACGCGAAGGTCACGTTTTGGTTTGGCGACATGAGGGTCGCGTTCTTCATTGTCGACGCGAGGGTCGTATTTTGACTGGGAAACGCGAAGTTGCAGTTCGCGTTCAACGAAAGCTCGAGGTTCGCGTTTTGGCTGTAAAACGCGCCATTGAGGGTCGCGTTCAGTCTAGTTCTTGCGAAGCTCCTGTTCGGGCTCATAGACGCGGAGCTCAGGGTCGCGTTTAGGCTCTCGAACGTGAAGTTCGCGTTGGTTGGAGGATCGATTTTCTCGAAGTTGTACTTGTCGTCGAGATCTTCTTCTTCGTCGAGCGGCGTTCTTGTTGGCCTGTGTTAAGGTCTCTGCAGTGATGTCGTCGACAGAGTTGGTCGCTGTTATGGGCCTTTCGTGACCCGAGAAACGTCGCTTTGGCATGAACGCAGAGCCTTCAACTCGGTGGACGAGTTTGGCCGAAGCTGAGCCCACTCCTTCGGAGGAGGGGCTGTTCGAGCATTCTTGGTTGAAGGAGAAGGCTTCCTTCGGCATAGGAGCAACAATTGGAGCTTTAGTCTCCTTGGAGACTTTGTGGATCTTGCGCATAGCCTTGGGGCTAAGGGATCCAAAAGAGAGGACCTCCTCGAACTTGGCTTGATCAAACTCTACCACGAGAGTTTCGACGATCGTTCCAGTGAGATGAACATCGGATTGCGCCACCACTTCTTCATCAGAGAAGTTTGTCCCCAGCAGAGTCGCCATCTTTTGTATGTAGTGAAAATTGCAAAGAAGAGAATAAAGAAAATTAATTTGTATTCCTTTGATTCTGATTACAACTTGATTACAAAAGAGGAGAGAACGGATTTGATTCTTTCCTTTGTTTAAAACTGGGTTCTTCACGGTGGCGATGGAATGCCTCCTTCGATTGCTTGCGTCGAGTTTGCTCTCCGTTGACGATCCGCACGTCTTGATTCACTGGAACGATGTCTTCTCCTCACGATTTGACGTTGTGGAGAACTTGCGTGGCAAGTTTGAAACTCTTGATGAGTTGATAACTCTGAACGAGTTTTAACTCTTGAAAAAGAGTTGATTTGAACCGAAAGTCGGTTATAAGCCAAGGACAGAGGCTCTCTATTGCTGAATTTGAAGATAATCTTCGTTGAAGGATGATGCTGATCTCCTCCGAAGTTTGCCCAATGATTTCCCCTCTTGCTGTCAATTCTCAGCTCCAAGCAAAACCTTCAATGGTCGATTCAAGCCAATAAAAATCGAACCCTGAACTCAGTTGAGTTTACCCATATTTATAGGGAATTAATGGGTGTAACCGCCCCCTTAATTCTCTCCATAATGGGGTGTAACCGCCCCCAAATCGTGGGAAACGGTTTTAGAACCGTTCAACTCATGTTGAATGAGTCAAACGCCCACGTTGGCGTTCAGGACCCTAACCTCACGTCTTAGGATTGAGACGCGAGGTTGGGTGTTGGCTGAACACCAATGAACGCGAGGGTCACTCGCGTTTTGGCTTGTTGTAACGCGGGTTCGACCCTGGCGTTTTGATGTTGTAACGCGGGGTTCGGCCTTGGCGTTTTGATGTTGTAACGCGGGGTTCGACCCTGGCGTTTTGATGTTGTAACGCGGGGTTCGGCCTTGGCGTTTTGATGTTGTAACGCGGGGTTCGACCCTGGCGTTTTGATGTTGTAACGCGGGTTCGACCTTGGCGTTTTGATGTTGAAACACGGGGAGGACCTCCGCGTCTTGCCTTGCAGAGATTATCACCAAGTAATAGCGTTGCAAAGATCATTGTCTTATAATCTTCGTCTTGGCTCCTTGAGAATATGAGAGTCGTCAGATTGTAACTCCCGATGTTGATTGTGAAGGCTGTTGAAGTAGAGCTCTCATCGGTTGTCGTGAAGGTCGTCAGATTATAACCTTCAGCGATCTACGCGAAAGTCTTCAGATTACAGCCTTCTGGAAGTCGTCAGATTGTAACTTCCATCATTGGTGGTTGATAGGGGATAAGCTATCTATTGTGATTTTTAGACAGCCTACAGAGAAATTATAGGTGGTGCTTGACAGTCGATCGATCGAAGTTACTTGGTTTGAGTCGCTTCATTTGATCAGTTGGTCATGTGTTTGCTTTATCTTTTCGACGAAATCAGGTTTTTTTTATTTTTTTTGTGCCGGCATTACTTTGTAGGGGCAATAACTTGATGTTAGCTAAGGTTCCACTAGATTTAGAGAGCATTCCTACTGCAACAGTTTCCGAACTTGTTGATGGTTATTAGCGTGTTAAATATGTTGTCTGAATGTATTATATGTGGGTTATAGCCAGGTAGGGTTACAGTGCCTTAGAATGCTGTTGGTTAGGCAATGTGATTATGCTACCATTTAATGTGTATATCATTTAGTGGTAACTGGTTACGAGGGGAAAGGAGAAACAAAAGAATGTCCTTGCTGCTGAAGAACCTCAAAATAATCCTTTACTCTGTACTGTAATTAAATCATGAATAAGGTGCTTCCTTGGAATTTACGGATGGCCTTGTGGATGATCATTGAATATGTAGTTACAGTAACTTTAATATGACACAGAGTGCATGATTTGTAGGTTTTGGCATCATGCTTCTTCTGTTGAAATTATGACCAGGTTGTCCAAACTTCTAAAAGATGTTGTATGTCTGGTGCTCGGTATTTTTTTTAGTAATGTTGCATTTTGTTTACTTTTGAACAGTCAAAATAGAAAGTTCAGTTACGGATATGCAAGCTCTCCTGGGAAAAGATCTTCTATGGAGGACTTTTATGAAGCCAGAATTGATGGGGTTGATGGAGAAATTGTTGGTCTGTTTGGAGTGTTCGATGGTGAGATTTTGTTCTGTTTCAAGTCCAGGTGCTTGAATGCATTTTTATTTGCAGACAACATGTAAGACATGGAAATCTTAGGTTTTCCTTTTCTTGCAAAACAATGTGATCACATCTTCTGAGGCTTATTTGCATATAATCCATGAACAAATTATTTATTTATTTTTGTTCATATTAGCTTGTGTTATTGTCATCTTCAACGCATGTCAATGTTGACTATTTTTTTTAGCATAATCTTTATCTTCTATATTGTCATCTTCTATATACATTTATGTATATGTATGTGTATATAAATATGTGTGTGTGTGTATGTATATATCTATATATATGTATACATATATCTGTATATGTATAGGTATACGTACATGTTATGTATATGTATAATTCTCTTTATTCAAATATTTCACTTGTTCCATTTTTCGGTTGCATGTGTAGGTCATGGAGGGGCTCGAGCAGCAGAGTATGTTAAACAAAACCTCTTCAGCAATTTGATCAGTCATCCAAAGTTCATAAGTGATACCAAGTCTGCAATAGGTAAATCTCTATTTTGACCCTTTAGAAAAAATTATTCTGCTTATCTCTGATTTATTATTCCTTGTTACTTTGTTGTATTTAAACCTTTAATTTGATTCTGCAGGTGACGCGTATAAACATACAGACTCAGAGTTCCTTAAATCGGAAAATAATCAGAACAGAGATGCTGGCTCAACTGCTTCAACTGCTATTCTTGTTGGTGATCGACTGCTAGTTGCCAATGTTGGAGATTCTAGGGCTGTTATCTGCAGGGGAGGGAATGGTGAGGCTTGATATATGACATCTATCAGTTCATGCTTCCTGGATATGTTAAAACGACTCCTGGATAAAAGTCTATTCTAAGCTTAAATATACTCACTTCAAGCATATTAGATACTTAATACCCAAACAAATTGTTTTTTAAAACTTTTATCAATGTTTAAGAGGGGCAAAATTTAAGTGGAGGTCCCCCATGTATTGTCCTACTGTCATCTCTGTCATCAGCCTAGGTTCTTTTCTCAAACTTCCGTTACTTCTTCCTGTCATGTCAGTGAGGTGGCAGACAATCTTGCAATTTTACTAATTCTTTTTGTAATGGACCGACGCTGATGACAGAGATAACGTGGGGACTACTATTGATGACTTCCCAGTTCCAAATATGAAGGACCTTGTTACCTTGATGATATTTGGACAATACATGGGGGACCTCTCTGAAATTTTGCCTTTATGAAAGATGCCAGTGATATATCCCAATTGGTGTATGTTTTACTTCATTTCCTTGTGTTCCTCTCCTTCCATTATTCTACATTTGTTGGTTGCAAGAATGTATGTCTACTTTACTTCCCTTTGCCTCAGATGATAGCACTTGCATATGGAACAAGGAACTGTACAAGTCAAAAAGTTATATAGTGCAGAATCTGCAGATTTAGTAAACATCCCTCTAGAAAAGATATATTGGTTCAGAAACTTCACCGCCTAGATACTTGCGAAGATTTAGCAGAGATGCCTGTACTACTTTGATATGAAAACTGTTCACCCTCGATACTGGATAACCTTAGTTTTCTAAATCGGATTGTGGTTAGGTTGAACTTCAATAGTTTCTTATGTTACTTATATTTGTCGGGTTTTAGATCTTCATAATGATTGTATATAGCGTGTCTTCTGACTATTTCTGTTTTGACTATTTCCGTTTTTATGATTTTGGACACATCTTACCTTCTTCAGGAAATTTAACGATTTTTCATTGATAAATTATATCCTAGATCATATAAGCTTGTTATCTTCTTTAATTTTATTGGTTGTTTACTTCTTTTCGTGAACTATGTTTAGACTGACTGGATCGTGAATCAATGTCTCAATCAGTTCCTGTAGTTATATACAGTTTTCATTTGATTGGCCTGACACATGCTTAAATGATAATCATGCACACATCTCGATTTAAACAGGTGCAGTTTGGAACAAGCAACATTTTCTTTAGGGATAAGGCAACAGGAATTCTGTACATCTGGATAATCTGCCAGACCTCTGCATGTGTACTTGGACACATGCAGCAAGGTGTTTGTTGCTGGAAAATTTTTCTTTATTTGTTGCATATGATGAGTAACTTCATTATTTTTTCGGAACATTTGGTGTAAGTTTCTAAATTAAAACACGCAAACTACCTAGAACTTCACATGTCATTCTGGCTGTACTTATCTTGATGACAAATTCATGTTTTTATGTTTTACTGGTGTCTGAATAAGTGCATTTCTCAAACTTGTTGAGCTACTATTGACCCGCCTAAACAGAGGTTATGTCACAGGAAATGCTAGATTTTAAAGGTGTAGCTGTTGTGCGTAGCGGAAATTTCGGCAGCACCTCGGCAGCACAACAAGAGAATTAGATCACAACAAGAATTTCCGTTTCACCAAAGAAAAAGAACCAAAAGCAAAATATCTCAACAAAGTGGGATATCAGCTCTTCCTCTCATCAGTTCTAGGACTGACCTGTCGAGGGAACCTAACAAGCTATTATAAATCACAGCAAGACAAACTATTTTACGTGGTTCGACAAATTGCCTACATCCACAGGGCAAGGAGGGGGGAGATCTACTATTAGAGAGAGAATACAAATAGGGTTTATAATCACACAAGATCTCACAAATAGAAACCCTTAAACAAACTCTCAAATCTCTCACAATTTCTCTCTCAAAGAGATGCACAAACCCACTCAGCGTCGGCTCCAAAGAGTGCTTAAATTCTCCTCAACACAGTTGAAAGAGTCTCTGCCTTCTTTCCCCTACGCAGCCGAAAATCCCTGTGTTTTTGCCCTTGCACAAAACCCTAGGAAGCATTACGTGAAAATTTATAGCAGGAGGTGAATCGTGTGGGCCTTCAAGCTTTGCCTCCAACTCTTTGCTCCCGCTTGTGGCCCCCACGTTCACGTGGCTGTCTCACGCGAAAAAAAAAAGACACGCCACACGCAATCGGGTGCGGCCCCCACTCGACAGCAAAATATCTTAGATTCGGCATTTAACTAGGAATGCGAACAGAGCGGTAATAATGTATCTAAATTCATAGGAAATGGATAGAAAGTAGATGTATAAATTAATGACATGATATGAATCACAGAAGATTGTACTGGTGTGAATTCATCAAAGGATGTGATGTTGCTAATATGGACCTTAACTTTGTACTATACAACACATTTTTGAAAGTTTCTTATGCATATCCCTAAATATGGTGCATCGACTAAGTGAAATATATATATTTATTTACTTTCTGAATGTGTTGCATTAGAGACCGCTCAACTAGGAATTCAAAACATGCATCTTTCTGTGTATATCGTCAATATGAGATACCAGTAGGATGCCTGTACTATATGGATTAACATCAAAATGTTGTTATTTTGAGGAGAGAGACATTTTTTGTTATTTTTTCACAAAAAATATGAGAAGTTATATTTGGTATTTTACTTTCTTCCCTTTTGCTCATTATATTACTAAGATTCTGTTGTCACTTGCTTATCTGTTACTTCTGTCGTATTTCCTCAAAAATCTTTCAACTTTTGCACTCGACTACCATCTTCTCACTTTCCTAATGCATAGAACAATAGTTCACAGCTGTTCACTGCATTTGCAGGAGTCCAACTCCTCCCGGTGAATCTTTTCATCTTGATAATCACTCTCTTTCCCATCTTATAGAAACATATATCAAAAAGAAGGAAATGAGTCAAAACAATTATGCACGGAAATACTATCTGCGGTGTATATTACATGGATACTTACTTTGACGAAGGAAACATACCCTTATTGGATATGTATCTCATACATAGGTGCATAGATACTGGATGGATATGCATTGCTATATTCACTTTCAAGCATCTGAAAATAAATGTGTTCTAAATATATTGACATAATAGTAGAGATGTATCTAGGACTAAAGTTTACAGCTGAATGGATGGAATAATCAGTTCAGTTTTCATAATTTTACTTGATACTAGATGCATCCTTAAGGTTCTTACCAAAAAAGTCTTGATAAAGTATGCTTGTTCACATATTTGAAAAGATTGTGATTTTTAACTATTATAGTCTTGCTGATTCATGCTGCATATAATGAACAACAGATACACGCACAACCGGGCGCGCACACAGACGCAACACTTTTTTTAATTTATATTGCCATATTCTCGATGTATATATTTTTAGGATTTTCCCCATCTGCATTTGTGTATAGTGTCCTCGTGTGCTTTTTTCCTGTATTCCTGTTGCTCCGTCATTTACACTGTTGGTCATGGTTGCTTATATGCCAAGGATTACTCTTGGCATACCAGATGAGTTCGTAGCATGGGTCCACACCCCTATCTCAATATTTAAGAATTTTCTGAACAAGTTGTCGATTGTTAGTGAATGTAAGTTTGCTTTTTAAGCAGTTAAAGCTCATCTAGATGAGTTGGCAGGTAGTTTAACCCATAATTACTTGCATCTAGAGAGAGGAGAGAGCTGTTCATAGTTGTCCTGACCAACATCGTAAACCCTAAACCTTAACAACGTTGCTTTATATAAGCAAGTCTTTGATACTTAGCACACCTACTTCTGTTTTTGTTAGGCAGTTAAAGCTTATCTAGCCAGGGAGCAAACTTCTTATTGCATTTACGTTTGGATTAAAAGATTATATGATTCTAAGTAAATACAGAGAGAAGGAAAATAGAAATAAATGATCAACCAGCCTACATAAGGAATTTCATGAGTAGATGCAAAGAACAGCTGTTTTATCATTGTCCAAGTGTATCAACAAAAAATAAGTGTGTTTTTAGCAGCCTTCTGTCGATTAGCCATTCTTTGCTTCACTATCATTTTTTTTTTCAAAAATAGGTCCAAGAAGATAGACTGTGTGTGTTAGTTTCTGGGGTCTTATCTGAGAAATAGTCTCATGTCTTTGCAGCTATTGCTGTTTCGAGAGATCACAAGCCTGATCAAACTGATGAGCGCCAAAGAATTGAGGATGCTGGGGGTTTTGTGATGTGGGCAGGTAATTAATGTCCCTTTCTGCATGATTTTTTCCGTTCATGTCTAGATTTTTTTATTCTTAATTTTTGTTACTGACTGTTTGAGTTTGGCAGGAACATGGCGTGTTGGTGGTGTTCTTGCTGTTTCTCGTGCATTTGGTGATAGATTATTAAAGCAGTATGTTGTTGCTGATCCAGAAATTCAGGTTCGGCTCTTATCGTGCATTTGGTGATAGATTATTAAAGCAGTATGTTGTTGCTGATCCAGAAATTCAGGTTCGGCTCTTATCTTTGATAATTGTGACGTTGTTGCTGATCCAGAAATTCAGGTTCGGCTCTTATCTTTGATAATTGTGACATGATAATTCATTCTTTCCTTTGGTCTCTTCTCACCAGAATGCATGCTCGTATCAAGAGCATCTAACTTTCACATTATTTGGTCTACTTGCCTGCTAATCTGTATGATTTTCTGCTATTTTGGTGCAAAATTCCTTCCAAGGAAATTATAGAAAATAAGGGAAATCCCTCAGAATTTTGTATATCTACCAATAGCAATTTAAGCTTATGAAGCCAATAAGCAAAACCATTGATATTTTACTTGACCACTACAGGGTGAATATGCAGCTATCCGCTAAAGGGAATATCAAATATGTGTGCATGCCCTGATTGCCTTCCTTCCTTCTCTGGATTATTATTTAGGAACCAATTTATTAATCATGAATCACAGGTTTCATGTAATACTTCAAATTTAGCAAGGATTTTTTTTTTCTGGTGTCGCCAGCTGTTTATGAAGCATTTGTAATCTAAGCTACCTATGTTACTTTAAGGTGGTTGATTTATTATGGTGCTTTACTTTTATCTAATTCTTCTTGTATGGAGTGACTTTCCTTGTTTCTTGGACCCCAAAGTTTACTCCTAATTTAAACTATTTTATACGGCTTGTGTTTGTTGAATATTGATAATATAATCAATTCGTTGTTTCTTATTACAGCTACATAGGGTATTTGATTTGGAAGAATAAAGGCATATATTCCATGCTTAGGCTTTGGACTAACGTGACAAAATTTGTGTATTCTACTATCAAGCTTAATATGGAAATTAATTTCTTTAGGCGCTAGTATTTTTCTTATTCCTATTCATCTTGTACTACAGGAGGAGATCATTGATGGCTCGCAGGAGTTTCTCATTCTTGCAAGTGATGGCCTGTGGGACGTTGTTACAAATGAGGTATATGCTTCATCTTGGATCATTTTCGCAGATTGGCATTTTATTCATTGTTATGGAGCACATTGCCTTCTGTAGTTCCTGAAGGCATCTAATCACATGCAGATTAGTAACTAAAGATAACTATTGTAGATGGCATTCTCTTTTATTAGAACCAGATATCCATGTCAGTAATTGAGCATTAACAAGCATCTCGTAAACATAAAAGCTAACATAGAAGGTCAGCAAACTGTAGGAAAGGGAGGGCACTTATTATTGGATTTCCTCTTTCAGATAGAACTATCAAACATGGATTCAGAAAAGCTACTGAATATTACATTATTTTGTTTACTTGGCCAGAAGTAATCATTAGATGATTATCAAAGTCAATATATTTTATTTCTCATCCCATTTCTTTGCAAACAAACAACCCGGCATAGAGATTTCTCTCAAACCAAACAAAAGCATCCTGGAATAGAGATTTCTCTCAAACCAAACAAAAGCATCTCCTGCAATGCAGGTAACTAAGTTTTTCCCCTTATGTTTGACGTGTTGAACCTTCAATTGCAACTCTTACCAAATAGGCCCTAAGTATTGGAATTCACAACCTTGAAAGGCCTGTGGTTTCTCCCCTAACATTGTACCACTGTTCAAGTTCCTCTTTTTGTTAGTTTCTCTGTAAATTACTTTGCAACTGTTCTAATTCCTTCCCACATTTCAGGAGGCTGTAGCCATGGTAAAAGCCATTGAAGATCCAGAAGAAGCAGCTAGAAGACTAATGGAGGAGGCTTATCAGAGAGGAAGTGCAGATAATATCACTTGTGTCGTCGTTAGATTCTTGGTTGGCAAGAATGGCAATTCTCCCCAGCAAGAGCAGCTGCAAGATTAGTAAAATTTCTCCCTAATATTGTTGTTGTATCTTTGATTGTACCTAGTGTAATTAATATAAATACATATATGTGGTAGAAAAACAACGAACTCCCTATGTATGCTCTCTAGGAAGCCTACAGAACTTTAGGCCTCCCTTGCGTCGACGGTGGTGGTGGGCTATAGGGGAATGGTTAGGAAAACAGTGTTTCTTGGTTGCAGACTTAGGCATGTGGAGCTGAAAGATGGTGGTATATATAATTATCTTGTGAAGAGTGAGAGCAGGTGTTATATTGTTTACTTCAATGTTTAAGTGCTAATGCTGGAAATTTATCAACGATATAGGAATAGTGATCTGCATGTCAATAAGCATTACAGGACGACCCCTAGAAAGAGGTGATATATGACCAAGTCTTTTTTTCCTTTTATTTTTTCTGGGTGGTGGTTTTTGTGTGTAGGTGGGGCGGAGATTGGGTCAGTTTGAGAATTTTAACTCTTCTATCTGTAATGCAAATTACCCTATTCCTATAGGGATGGTTAGTTATTCTTAGTGATGTAAATTGTGCTTAATTAACATTTGTTCCATGTTTGGCAAATGGTTTTAGTTCAAATGGTGATATTGGATTGGCTCCAGCATATGATAAATTTTGCCACGCCGTTGTATATACGAAATTTAGCAATATGCAATATATTGCATATAAGAGAATTCTCTCAAGACATATAATGCTCAATTAATCTCTGTTTATTATTACTATTTTGGAATTAGATATAGACTTCACATAAGAAAAAACTCAGTAAAAAATGGGAGTAAATGGAGGAAAATTTTAAAAGCGGGAATAACTGTAGAGAGAATTGAAAAAAAAGGGGGAGGAAAAAAACCTGTTCTTTCACATAAATATGCCTACAGTAATGTGCTATTACGTGCTTTGGAATTTCTCTTGCTATTAACGTCAGTATCGGGAGCATCAACCTATGCATTAGAAAACGAAAAAAAAAAAATACAAAACGCAAAAAAAGATAACGAAAAATTAAAATTAAAAAAAATAAACTGCTCAGGATGAAAACTAGAGACAAAACTAGTGAAAAGAGAGAGAGAGAGGAAAATGATGAAGAAGATATAGGAGAAGGCTCAGACATAATTTGTGTAGATTCAATCGGCAAGGCAAAGGAGTTGCCATTACGACCGGCGAGCGAATCACAAAATCATCACCGCCTTCTCCTGATCTATATATGTACACATTACTCACAGATCAAACCATATATCTCCAATATTGCAATACACAAACTAGCTAGCTAATAGTTAGTAGTTCAACAAATGAAGATGTTAGAAAATAAAATTGAGGAGATTAAGAGCTTTGAGATTAATAGCTCTCTAAGTACAATCTTCTTAGAGTGCTCATACTACTCTTTATATATAGAGCAAGGAGCAGTTGAGAAGGTGGAAGGCTGCTGCTATTCTTTGATTCTTCCTTGACCAGTTTGTGTTGCCTTGGAGCCCAAGACAGTGGTTGTAAGACTTGGACCAGATCGATATCATTACAAGATGTATATAGTAGGACAAATTAGGTATAATCTATTATTTAATGAGTATAAGCTATAGGACGCAATAGGATGAAGAGTTTTCTCTCGTGTTAGGTGACTAATATATGACTAATATCACTTAACTTCAAGTGATCATTTGCTTATGTTAACATATATACATCTAATTTTTTTTATGAGTTATCTAAAGATTACAGGATTACGTTGAACTATTACACACTTTGTAGACAACTATCTTTACAAAGTCAGGAGAGAAATATGAGAAAAATGTATGGTAGTTTATGTTAATAACAAAAATCTATGTAATTATTTATACTATATATTAAGAAAACCCCCCTCTCTTGATCATTGTGGGCCACCTTCTTACAATTCTGAAAATGCTCTTATATCTGAAAGATCAATTGTAAATTCCTTCACATTTAAAACAATCAACAAAATACCTCACACTTGAAGAAAAATCAATGTCTTCACACTTAGAAAAAATCTATAAACAAATCAACGAAAATTCATTCAAAATAATGTCTATTTGTTTTGTTTAAAACATCTGCCCACCAATGTTACAGAAGGCGCTAGGAGGACCAGGCGTTTCAGCCAGCGCCTAGCGCCTAGGCGTTTGACTATTTTAAAATTATTAAATTATAGTAATTGATAAAAATATGTATTAAATTCATATAAATTTGTAAGAAAATAGCAATCTTAAATCCACAATAAACCATGTATAGTTAAATACTAAATGGCTAAAATAATAACTAACAATGTTGTAGAAAGCGCTAAGAGGCCTAGGCGTTGGACTCAATGCCTAGAGCCTAGAGGTTTTCTTTTTTATTTTTTAATTATAATAATTGATAGTAAATATCAATGTTATAGAAGGCTTAGGTGTCGGAGTGATGTCTAGGCGGATTTCTTTATTCATTTAAGGGGTGGTCGAGGAGGTTTTGCTAAAGGTTGGAGGAGACAGTGGAGGTGTTCATATTTAGAGGTTAAAGGTGTTTGGAGGATGTGGAGGCTGCAACACAAAATTATGATCAATGCCTAAATAGTACAGTCCACGTAAACAAACAATGCTCGCCTAAACATTCTTAAAATCTAGGTGGACAACTTAGATACCGCCTAGATGCTAGGCGTTAGTTAGGCATCCTAAGTACCACGTAATTAAGCCTAGGTGTACACCAAAGCAGACTAGACAGAGGTTTTTTAAAAACAGTGTCGCCCACGTTTCGTGTCATACATGCATCGCAGGAGCACTAGTCTGACAAAGTAAATTTTATGATAGAACTTTATTTGAAAATTTTTGTTAGTTTTATAAAATATAAACAACAATTTATGATATCTAATTTATGGCACACTAGCACATTGTTGCCTGCCATGCATGTGCAAAATTATTTAATTATATAATCAATCTTACATTTTCATAGAATAGTTTTAATGATGATTAATTTAGGGAAAATTGCTTATATATACACATACATACATATACACATACACACACATACACATACGCGCGCACGCACACACACATATATGTATGTGTATATGTGTGTGTACACACACACATACATACATACATACATACATACATATGAGCAATATTGAGGAATTTGGTACCAAACACAAGTTGTTGTGATTCGTAGTGAGGTGGTTTATTCTCATCCCCCATTTGAATGAGTGGATGAGAATGAACCACTTCACTATCAAACACAAAATTTGTGCTCGGTACCGCAGTTCTACGATTGCTTTATATGCACCGTACTTGGTTCGTATTATATGGGTGTAGTTGTATATAGTGAGGTACCCGGTCGATATATACTACGGGTAAGGTAGCGGCTAGGCTATAGAGGGGTATAGTACGTAGTAAGGTTATATCGTATGTGTATGAGGCTATATATAGTACTATACCGGCTCTGTCTAGGTACTAGTAGTATAGATATGAGTTAAGTATGTCAAGCGTCAGGTATACTAGTCACTTACCGACTGAAGGTAGGATGTTTATGAGACGGCGCGTAGCTATCATATATATACATAGGGATGGTATATAGGGAGGTTCAAATGCAAAACCCTCACTATCAAAAACTAAAAAACTCTATCCACTCCGTTGGATTGAGATTCGATTCAAATTTGGCCTGGATACGTATAAGACTATTAATGCCTGCCATAAGGGGTAATCATGCGTAAATTATCACGACTTCCAAAGAGAGGTAACTTGAATGTGACTGTGAGTCCCCAAAGAAGTACACCTCTCTCTACACCACTCCCCATTCTTTCTCTCTCTCCATCTCTTCTTATATAGACCGATCACCAACCGCACCCATCAACTGCCTATCAAGGCGCCGACGGGCGTACGCCTACCCCATGAGCTCGACCTGTGCGCCTCCAGCTCGGCCGTCCGCTTCCTCCCACCGCCCTCGCCTGAGCTCATCCCACCCATTGGCTGCGACCGAACTAAACTCCCCAAGCCGCCTCCTCTTCTTCGTCGCCACCCTCCAGCGCCACCCATCGGCCGTCCTCATGGCCATCACCACCTCCGGAGCTCCGCCATCTCGAACAAATTCCCGCTGCCGACCTTCGCCTATCCCTCTCCCACACGTCAGCTCCGAACGAGCAGCCGCCCTCCACGTCCAGCTACCGCGCTCCAACCTCCTCGACGACCTCCGCACATCTCGATCGACAGCAGTGAATCTGGATCACATCAGTGAATCTCGATTCACATCACGTGCGAATCTCGCATTCACTATCATGAATTCCTCGATTTCACATCCGTGGAATCTCGGATTCACAGCTGTGACATTCGCGCCAGATTCACTGAGTGAAATCCAGATTCTTCACCGTGAATCGCCGATTCACAGCTGTGATCGAGATTCAGCTCATGAAGAAGAATCAGTTCACTGCAGTGAATCGTAGATTCACTGCACGTGAATCGAGATCACTGCAGTGAATCAGATTCACCCTACAGCGAAAGCTTGGATTGGTTAGGATGGTTTTTATGTGAATCCATAAGTTTCTATTCTTTTTTGTTTTTTCTATTTTGCAGATTCTGCCTATTGTTCGATACACGAGTTTCAGTTCACTGAATCTTGGTATCTCATTTACGTGAATCTGATTCACTCGCGGCTTCGCGTTCGTCAGAGCCGGCTTCGGTTTCGCGGAGGGAGCTCGAGGGGGAGCTGGAGTTTGGAGGAGCTGTGTGAGGAGTTTATTTGGCTTGTGGTGTTGCTGCGAGCTGGGTGTTGTGCTGGAGAGAGAGGAGAGAGGAGAGGGGCTGGGTTCAAGCTTTTGCGGAATCAGGAGAAGAGAGTGAGCGAGCAACGGGTGACGTAGGAAATTGTCGTATAATGTTAAGAGAGAGTATTAACAGAGAGAGTTGTATTAAATTTGTATCATGTGTTCCAATTGTAATCAGTCACCATTAATCCAATAAATTGTTTCATATGGTTTACCCTTTTCAGCATTATTGCGAGTGTACTTAATATGTATGTCTATACTTTACCACATTCTGCGCATCGAAATCTAGGCCATGGATTAGATAGATTGGAGCGGTTAGGATATGGTTTTAGTTTCTCTAGCGTTTTTATTAGAACCTTCCCCTATATTTACGTAGTAGTAATATATATATCCGTACGTAGTATAGTCTACGGCCTATACTATATACTGATATTTCAGTATATACGGCGTGTATAGTGAATATATAGACACACACACACAAAGTTCTAAGCATATATCTCTACTACCATTTATTTGCACTAATATACAAAGAAAATAATAAGAAAGAGATAATTATTGGAGGATTTCAAGTTTAAGTAATAAAGATAAAATCTCTCAGAAAATCGATTGACCCTCACTATTTCCTCCAACAATAAAATATGCATTCTTAAAAAAATAAAAATAAAATGTTTTCATATCATGTGCATTCGCATGTGTCGGCTTTCTATTTTACTATATAATGAACATATTGATGAAAGTAAAGTTGGATGAGTCGCAAACATTTTGCTCCGTCCTATTGTAATATGG